GATCGACGTCGGACTCTCACGCCCTTATCTACCCACTTACCCCATTTTCCTATCCCGGGCGTGAAATTGATCCCTGTTCCTTGTTCACGTGTTAGCCCGACTAACGAAATTTCGGAAACTTTCTCGAAAGTCGAAAAAAGTGAGACTAGCTACAGCGAGATAATATTATTATTGATTTTGAAGCGCGCGATTTAGAATGGGAAGGACTTTTACAGCAAGAAATCCTTGATATAACGAGTCTGAATAAAGGAACGAGATAAGGACGTTTCTTATTAAGACATCTGAATAAAGCGTAACAGAATATCGTTTGCATATCTGATATAGTTTTTTTTTTTAAGAAAAATCTATTAAAACGTCTCATCGTCAGACGTCGCTTCACTCTGTATATTTTGAATCGTTCTAATAAATATTTCGACGCATTTTACAGAAATACAAACATTATAAAGACAGAAAATGTCAAATAAATGTCAAGTATTTATATATTTGATATCAATCAAAATTTGCTCGCTTAGAACATTTTAATGTCACAATGATTGATCGATTTTCAGTATATATGATTTATTCCTATTCTTTAAATAAATTACGTAAATATAAAGAGGTGTGGAAAGTATTAATCAAATGAAGACAGACACCTTCACAGGAAATTTCATTTATAATTTAACGCGCTGACAAATTGTCAAGAATTACGCTTAATTCAATTCGATCGGTCTGTTCCAGATCTGGCGTTTGCATTAGAAAGCAGCTCTAGATTCCGTTCGCACGTACTAATAGTAGGTGATGGAAGTGAAGCTTAAACTGTAATTATATCAGGGACTGTCGCCGCTGAGTGTAAAGCTGCTTCCATGTCCGCATGCAATTTATTCTCCGTTCTCATCTGTAATTGGATCATTTCTGGCTTAGTAGTTTGACGAATGATGCAGCACCGATATCCGACTGGAAGATGTCCAATGCGATTTAAGTGATATGCATACGTTGATACATTCATGTTGATATATTTGACATCCAAGATTAGATATAGACTCCGTTTAATATCCGTTATATAACATTTTCGTTGCTTAATATATTTATGTATAGATGACTGATCTGGAACGGATATTTTCAATTTAAAAAGAACGTGGTGCTTATCTAAATGATATTTTTTAAAAGCATAATATAGTTTCTATTTATATAAATTTTCGTATATTAATAAATCTGCCGCGAAAATGAAGATATATTATTGAGACTGTGACAGAAGTTTTTTCAAAGCTAAATTCCTATTCTTTATACTTTTTTTGAATTTTTATTATCTCTATTGAGATACATTGCTATTTAAAAGGAGTTAAATATTCAAATTCTGTACAAATAATGTGAAATATTCTTTTTCATTATGTCTATTCTTTTTAATAATTCTTGTTCAAGAATTTTATTAAAATCTCTCGACATGAGAAAAAGAACAAAATATTTATCCTTAAGCTGATATATTTTACTTTGTGTCTCAAACATGACAGTAATATAAAGAATTTGCAATAAAAATGTTACATGCTAGATAATAGTAAAGTAAAATAATATTTTTAACTTAAAAAACAGGACACTGCAAAACGATTTAAAGCTGTACTTAACATATCATTTTGATGTGAATGGCAGAGATATTCTAGGTATTTCAATTCATTTTACACGGTAACACAAAACAAAAAAAAACTGCTAAAAATCTTATAAATATCCAACATAATGCGGATAGATCATAATTTGTCGATCACGTGGAGCTTGTCACAACAACGAACAGAAGCGAGCATTCAATTGGACGTATCCTACTATGTTTGAATGGTCAACGACAGGTCAAAGGTAACCCGCGATACTCTCCGGTTTAAAGGACAAAGGAAATGCAATTCTCTCATGCAATTTCCTCGCTGGCGCCGAATGAAGTGGCGGAATTTGGCACTTCAAAGACCACAGGAATGGTATTGTCGTTCCAGTGGTATCTACTTTTCATTCCGCTCTTGTTAGCTTTTTGTCGTGCCCTATCGATCGCGCGGCTCTACTGACTTCGATGTGCGAGACACATAAATTGAGATTAGTGACAATAAATTGCACATATATAATATAATATAAGAGGTACGATAAATATTATATCAATTTAATTCACAATTAACATTTTTTATTTTAATTAAAAAAATTATTTTTATGTATTTATTACAGTGTTTTCTATTTTTATTATGCTGAAATATTTACTAAATTTATTTTATTATTATATGCATATAAAATATTTTTTCAATTTTTTTCTTTTTTAAAATACAATAAAATCTTCATAAAATTATTTTTTTATATCTCTATTATTAGCTTCACCGCGCACTATATATTACTAAATATTAATTTAGATTATACAATAATATATAGATAATTAGATTAATTTTTTAGTATTGGAAGATATAAGTATTTGTAGGATATTAAAAAGAAAATAAAATTTTATACCATCTTTTCTCTGATATATTACAGTAAAATACAGGCAAATAAATAATAAAAATGTTTTTATTAGAGATTAATGACAAATTATCAACGATTTAATATCATCCGATAATCGCTTTATTTCTTGACAATTGAACAAGTTTTATTCGAAGGTTATTACTTGATTTTGCGTGAATTGCGAACGAATTTCGATCTCATTATTTTGTTGGGATGTGCGTATGATATCGGGCCTTTTCAAGCAAAATTGATTACCGCAGTAATCTATCCTTGTCTGGCAGATAGACGGAGGAGTGGTTACAAATTGCACGCGCACCCTCCTCAATCATTTGCTCTCGTCTCGGATAAACGATCAGCCTGATTTTTAACTTTTGAAAAAATTCCTATTCGTATTAATTGTTCGTTATTTCGTCGGGGAACCATGTTGAACGTGCGATACTCATCGTCACAGAAACAGAGGAAATTAGTTCGACATTTTTTTTTTCCGACCGTGTTGGTTTGATGGGTTCTGACAAACGGCTAACCACCGTCGGATCGACATGGCTGTTGAGTTTACCATGTAGACAGATCTAATTGGGATTGGTCGGCAGTGGTCGCGCTGACAATTACACAGCGACATTTCTGTTGACGCGATGATGATTATCATTAAATTCAGCCTCTCTAATTGTCCGCAGTCGCAAACAGCATAAGGAAATGGATTGAGATTAATTGGGTCACATCATCAATTGTTTGGATGTTTGGTACGATGAATTTCATCCTTTATGATCAAAAATTCTCTCTAGCGTAGTTTTATATAACAATATTTCGATATATTTTATGTAAATATTACGTATATATAGAATAGATACTTGTATCGTATATATATTTAAGTTTTTTTTCCAAAATAATTGCAGGTTTTGAATAAATTGCATAATATGGCAGTTCTCTTTTATTACTCAAATATTTATTGAGTTCAATTTTGATTTTAGTGATATTATTCGTCAACAAATGTAATCGTTGTTGGCTATATTATAAGCGATTCAAGAATAATATTCCATTTAAGCCACATAAATTGTACGCAAACAGTTTGAATAGAATCGTAAGATTGTAATGATTTTGTAGTAATTTTGCCAAGCAGATGCAATAATTGTTTATATATATTCTTTTATTTTTTTATATATTTTTTATATTTCAAAATTTATTTTTTAAGCAGTTATTTGTCAATGCACTTTGATGACACGTTATACAAAAAAACTTAGGCATTGCATCTCTTTCTTTACTTGTATATACTGGCAATTCAATTAAGAAAAATATTGCCCATTCGAGATTTCTGATTTTATAATTTTGACAAAGTTTTCTTAATGAAAAAGCTAACTGAATTAAATTTCCGCGCGATTTCTATTAAATCATTTTATTACATATTTTACATCGAATATATTTTATTAAGCATTTGATAATAATGTTCATATGGCTATCTTTGATAATAGATTGATCTTATGAAGATCCCAGCGTAATCCGGCTTCAAGGTTACGCTATTATTGCAGTTCACTGTGTGTAATCGATCCGATTCTCTTCACTATGACAATTGAATGAACGAGGAAGCGAATTGGAAGAAAGGGAGGGATGGGAATGCAATTTCGTGGCATTAATATTGCAAGAGTTGTCAACCATAAGCAGTCTTGCGACTCGCTGAGAACTCTAGTTTTCCTCCCTACAGACTGCTATTATTTTGTACTCCATGATAGGAACGAAATTGCACGTGAAAATTTGTATTTCCCTCGGTGTATGATGAAAGTCTGGCACAGATGACATATATGTTTTAAAGAAACTTGATACAAGAAACCTCGAAGAATTCTAATAGTGTATGTGAATTATGCAATTCTCGCGTAATTAAAGCAATATTTCATTTAAAATTGAAATTACTTTTAATAAAAATTTAGTGTATTACAATTGCGTTGGAATAAATAATTAAATCGTTGTATCTAATATATATAAAATTTTCAAAGTAAAATACAATAATCTGTAAATTATCGAAAGTGGATAGTATAATTATAAGATTATTTATAAAACCAAAGTTTTAACATTTTTTAAAATATTTTTATTACAAATGAATAAATAATAAACGGCATATATTTATATCATAATATATTTAATAAGAGATAAATATAAAATAATATTTATTTAAATTAAAATTGACGTCTATAAAAATAAAAAGTTAAATTAAAAAAATTGTAATTATATGAAAGTGTGCTAATTGTAATGATGGTAAAACAATTTTCTAAGTTGTTTAGCATATTTTTGGAATGTAATGAGTCGTCGTAATCTAATTACAGAATATGTTTATACATACCAACGAATGGTCAGTCGGATCTCATGATAGGCATAAATATACATATGTCGCGTATAGTTCTATGCATATGATATTGCTAAACACAAGCCAAATTTCCTCCGTGTCTATCGGCCGCGTATAATGCATATGCACGTACTGCATCATATGACGCCCATATACGCACGCTTTTAGGTGCATATATCCATATTAAATGTACATATTTGCGCATCGTCGGCTATGTATATGTACTTACTATTCCGGAACCGTTGAATCGGCAGGGCAGTAGAGCATTTCCGCTGCTTTGTGCTAAAACATCCTTGACGGATTTGGGTCTCACGTAGGGGTCAATGTCGGTTTCCTTCCTTGATCCACCTCGTTCAATTGCACCGTCTATAAATATTCAATAAGATTTCAATCTTTATTATCACTTGAAAAACAATTCGTAGAAATTTATCTAAAATTTTCATAACAATGTTTGATACTTCATTCAAAATCATTATATTATGTACAAATTATAATTTCATTTAACTTAGTTCAATAAAAATATTAAGAAATGAAAATTAATTACCTTAATTTATATTGTTGCATATTACATTTTTTAAGCAACTTTAATTAAATATTGTTTATTGATGTTATTAATTTAAATATAATATTTTCAACATATTTATAATTAATGTTAAAAATAAATAATTAAAGTATATATATATATATATATATATATACATTTGTTCAAATTTATTAGAATATTAATGTATTAATGTATTACTTTTATTCTCCATACCTGGCTTTTTTAAAGTAACTTTGATTAAAACTAAGTGTCTTTATCATTTCAGACCGTTCACAAATTTTCGATGACAGTTACGTAAATTAGACCAAGGAGACAATCAATTTTTTCAATCAAATAATGTTCGTTAAGTCTTTAACAATCTCTTAATTTTCTTGTTCTATATTCGTTAATTGGAGATGGTTGTTAAAGCGTTTCTAGCTTTAACGATCCGTTTAAAGATATAGTAAATGATCAAATGGATTGTCATACCTAACAATTTAATAAAAGTTTATATAGAAATCGAAAATAGAATCAGAAGAAAAGGTCAAGAGTGTATCGAGTATCCCGAGTTATTTTTTAAAATTCTGAGATTTTATATAAATTTATTATATGTATTAAATATCATATAATTATTTTACAGGGAAAAAGAAAAAAATGATAAATAATTGTAAATCACTTTTTAAACATGTTCAAGATCTGCGTCATAAAGAATTTATATATTGATATTTACGACTACAAAATAAATTCCGCTTTTTGAAACAAAATAATACTCTTATCGTATAATACGATTTCTCGCATCTCGTATAATGATCATTAAATATATTAGTATATTTTTAGAGAAAGTGGATATTTTCAATATTTTGTTTCCCTAATTAAATTAATAATAAGTTTTAATTGGACAAATGCGTTATAATTAGCAAACATTTTTCCTGTATTGGATAGTGCTTCAAATTTTGTAACGTTCGCAAAGTGGTTATTGCATAAAAGGATTATTAATGTAATTATCATATTTAACAACACGCGCAAATAATATAGCTTATTTTTAAATGTAATACTTGAATCTTGATGGTGCTGTTTGTTACTCATTGAATAATTATTTGATATCGGACGTATAATCCGAATGTAATCCGTGAATTATAATGGGTTAAGCATAAAAAATAAGCATAAAATATTAAAAATATTAATAATTAAATCTGTATATAATATTAAGTTGAGCATAAAATATAATACAATCTGTATATATATGCTTGTATATGTGTTTTATTAAAATTTCATTATTTTTATTCAAGTATCGTGCAATTATTAATTGCATATTATTTGAACTGTAAATTTTATGATGTTTCTTTATCTACTAAAAAATGCGCATTTTTCGTTTTAAATTCGCATAGTATGTTTAACAAAGGCTTTGCCGTTGCAAGAAGTACTTATACGACATCAAAGAATTTTAGCATAGAAAAATTATGTTTTAGAGGTATTGAAGAATATTTTAACGAAACTTCTCAATCAAATACACGATCTTGTCTCGATAAAATCCAACGCAAAACTTAATTACCAATATATATATATACTTATCGTTGAAAATTGCAATTAGTAGATTGAAACAGCTTAATCGGCTCTATTTTGTCGAAGGAGCCGTTGCCTGCTGGAAATGCTGACACGTGAGTTTACGTTTTCATTATTGCAAGAAGTCATTTGAGCAGTCAACGTGCGCATGCTTGGATTAAAGCGTTCCAGCTTTCCCTCTGACCTGGCGTCTACACCCATCTACATTCAATATAGACGGAGGATATATTGAAGATTATGTTGCCATACATGTGTATGATTAGTTCAGATTAGACCCGACTGAATCGGTAATGCTGCGTAGCGTATTGCATATCGCCAGTCGTGTATAGTTCACCTTCGAGAGTTCGCGTTCATGTATGTTACAAACAATGAATAAAGAGAGACAAGAGGAAATTGTTCGAACGTTACGTTCTCAGTAATCTCGGTGTTATATATATAACCCGAAACAGCATACTAAAGTATTATATATAGCGGATGCACGGTTATCTATATATATTGGCATAATATCAATTCTGGGATATCAATAGAGTATTTATAATAGGCTTATCACAGGCGATATCACTCATCATTATGAGTAATATTGTATAATATTATATACACACCCGAAGTATGTATCAATTATCCGTGATTATTAATGCAGACGATTTTAAGGGGATAGAACAAAATTGACGAGCGAAAAAATGGACTTTTTTTCAGTTAAATATTTAGGATATGAAAAATTCGAAGTATTTTGGCACATTATTCTATATTCTTTTATGCCATTGTAAAAAAAGACTAAAAATATTAATTATAAAAATGGGAGTTACTTGCAATAAAAGGAAACAGTTATTTCATTGGAAATAATTCCCGTTCAATAAATGCGAAATTTTAAAAATCGCTCCAACAATTTTTTCCAAAAAATGTTTTAGGTTGTTAAATATAATATCTAAAATATGTGTTGGAAGCAGAATTTCGAAAATAATTCTGAAAAATACCGTAGTTGTAAAAAAATGCAAAATTGCATCTCTTTCAATAAAATTGAAAAAAAATGTTTAATTTTGCTTCTAACACATTTTATATAGTTTTTAAAATTATAAATCCGTTTTCTAACTTTATTTTAGATTTTTCATTACTCTAAAATCATGTTCACTACGAGTTAATTACTCTGAATAAAAGGCAAAATCCATTGATATACTAAATATATTTAATTAAAATAAAAAACAAACGGGTACAGACATAAGCTATAAAATAAGATATATAAAAAGAAAAAATAGAATAAGTAAAAATTCGTAAAAATAATATTGTAAATATGTTTTGCTGTATTTGTATAATACCAAAAATAATAATTTCAATTAATATAATCCCTGAATATTCAAAATATTTATTTCTAATTCCTAAAGTCAATTTAAGATCTTTAACACAACAACTTGAATGATTATTCTCCTAAGAAACTAATTTATATATAAATATTTCTGGTCTCGTATTTTTCTGGAAGATAATCTTTCCTCCCGCTTTCTTATCGATATTTATTTTGCTCGATCCACGGAAACACGGTCATTGTTACTTCTTGTTGACTTTAATACACGAGCGTGAAAGTGCGAACGGTCGAACGGGCAGAAGAATGAATTGGCGAAGGTCCATAAGTAGGTGTCGCAAGTTTGTTCCGTGTTCCCCGGTATTGCGAAAGTTGAACCTCGCTTCGGAAACAGCCGAAACTTTTCCAACGGGGATTGATTCGCTTCCGGGCGCTCCGTCGTGCACCGACATATTCGCGCTTTTTCCGCGATTGTGTCCGATCTCGCGAAACGGAAACTCTCGGACCGAGCTGTCGCGATTTACTTTCGTGCAGTTTTCGGACAAGTTACCGTCACGTTAACATATGTGTAATGACTTCGCGAGCCACCCCGTCATCGTAAACCGAATTGCGTCGGTTCGAGAATATTATACGGATTGTGTGCCGGTGACGTTTGGCGCGTCGAATGGCTTCTCAGGATCGAGAGAAGAAATTCGCTTACGGCGTCGAGTGTCGACGCTAGATGGAATTTTTATGACCCGAATGTGTTAAAAATATTATATCGCTCGCGCGCGTCCTAGGGCAGGCAGTTTCCGTGTCGGTTCTCTCATTCGAAATGCATTGGACAATGCCTACGACTGCGTGTGCACTATGTATCTCGCAGTGATAAAACATTCCGAAAATGCTATTTTATCGGTTGTGGAATATCGCAAGGGAAGTAGCTTGAATAAATCGTCTTTTGTGTGATGTATTTCTCGCGTGATCGGATCCGAAAGAAAGAAGGAATGGCGATGGCTCTAAAGCATCCCGTATAACACTTGGTAAAATTTCCATCTGACTTTTATATATATATTTTGTAATCTTCTTGAGAGTTTTTATTAAGAGACATAGCAAGCGAATGGAAATCATTTGTATTTAAAAATGAAAAAAATTAAGTAAGTTTATTTGAGAATTATTGATAAAATGCCCGATACACATGCAAGAATAATGAAGATCTTGTGGATAATTTTCGAAATACATGATAACTATACAGAATAGTCAATGTTGTCGGAAATTGCTGTGTTAAGCTACACTGCGTGTTCAGAAAGTATAAAGCGCTTTTAGATATACATGCATTACATCGCCGTTGCGCTTATGCATATGCAGAGATGATAATTTGACAACTCGAGATATTCCGCGCTATATATCCTTCACTATGAGATTACTGGCCTTTTAGTACACGAATATGTCGAAACTTCTCTTGTCGATCTTCCATGTACCAACTTCGAACAGTGTCGTAAATCGAAATATAGGTATCGAGCGAAATTGTTATACAGAACGTTTGCCATGTCGTACATGTAGTGCAGATTACAAGAAATGGTCGATAGATTAAAAGATAAGTGAAGATTAAGTGCTAAATATATAGGATGGTATATAGGATAAACTATTAAGAATGATAAAAAGACATTCTTTTTGACGCTATAAGATTTATTTGGTACCATAAGATTTCTTTATTCCTGTTAAATTCTTTAGAAGGTTCAGGAGAAATTATTTCTTTTTAATAGAATCATATATTTTTGTTTTACAATATAAATATTATTACACTTAAAAAAATTTGTTAATTTGATAAAACCTTTCAACTAAATTACTAAATTGTTTTGTTAATTGAACATATATTTGTATTTAAGTCAAATATACATTTTGTTAGATTTAATATGTTATATTTAATTTAAATATTTTTATATGTTCAAGTATAACAAAATAATATTTAATTGAAAGGTTTAGTCAAATTAACAAATTTTTTTTCAG